TAAAAAGTTATAATGAAAAATAAGAAAAAAAACAGAAGAAAAAGGAAGTATGTAGAAGTTTGAAAGAATTTGAAGGCAGCTAGAGTTCTCGCAAATATCAATTTTTTTTTTTACACATATATAATTATCACATATTATATGTAAAATTTTAAATATTTTATGATCATTATCTTTACAATTACAATGAAAGTTTCCGATACGATGAAAATAAATTATCATAAAAATTATGTAGAAGACATTATGTAGAAGATTATTGTAATTAAAACATATAAAAAAGAAAAATTTTTTTAAAAATTGAATATTAAATGTTGTTATAAACATGACAGAACTTTTTTTAATTTTTTGAAAAATTATATTGTTTATCTATAATGATTTTTTGAATTTTTTGTCAAATTAATTTTTTATTGTTAATTAATAATATACTTATTTATAAAATACCTTTTTAAAGGATATTATCATACATGCGTAATACGCGTGTATATCTCTTCAAAAAGGTATTTTCTGTTCTTTTAAAACTTGCCGCAATGTAAATACATGTCCGTCGCAAATATCACAATGCTTATCGAACAAACTTCTAACTTCGAGATTTTTTTTTGTTATACTAATGTCCCATATCGTTCGGATCGTTCTTTAGAAAATGTAATGTATTTGTAAGTCAAAATGGCCATAATGGCAAATTTGGTCCAACAACTGGTTCTCGTATAGGAGCATTGGAATTAAAATCTGTCTATCGCGAAAAATCGTCTGCATATTTTGTTCGTGTATTTACTATTTATAAAATCTCAATATATACGTATGATTAAATGAAAGAAAAAAAAATTATTAAATATAAACATAAATTCTTCTAACAATGATAATTATAATATATTTGGACTTCAATCTTTTCATAATAACTTTTACCAAAATTTATTTTCAGAAAAGTTTTATAAAAAATTGTTTAAAAATTGTTTTGTTCATTAATTAATTCATCAACATAAAATATTAATATTATGCTTTATTTAAATTTATGTTTTAAAATAATTTTACATAACAAACATAATTTTTATTTTTTTCTATCCACTCGCGAATGAACGAAATAAATAATTAATAGTAATGTTTGTTTATGTAAAATTATTAAATAAAATTTAATATAATTGACATTTGAAATATTATGTGCAATATATAAATATATGCAATATTTCATTGTAATTAATACAACTTGAGATTTTTCATTTACAATTCTCAAAAACATTCTATTCTTTTTTTTTTAATAATATATTTTTTACTAATTAAAAGGAAAAATATTTAAAGTCAATAATTGTTTTATACTTTAAGTAATAATTCAACGTTTAAAACTTATTATAGAAGTATTACTATTACTTTAAATATATTGATAAAGTAGCAAGAATATCCATATATAAAGCAATAAAAGATATAAATCAGGAGTTATATTCATCTATTATTAATAAAAGATATCTATTTATCATTATTTTTTACACATTCAAAAAATAATGAAATGTTATTACAAAAAAAAATATGTACTATAATATGTACATGCATCCAGTAATTACATGTATATTAAATATATTACAAACTTTTATATTTGCAGTATTAAATTTTTAAAAATGCAATATTAATATCTCGAATATCATTTATATAATTAAATTATATGCAGTATAATTGTAAGATCATATGCACGTAATATGAAAATGATAACATTATTATTAAATTGTTATTTATAAAGACTTAGAATACTTTCAAGAATACAATTCACCTTATCTTATTAACCAAAAGTGAAAAATAATTTTTAAAGACATTTCAAATCGAAAGTTTTGAACGAGAAGAAAGAGAAATATTTTTTAAATTTGATGAATTGTCTGCGGACGACATTGCATAGATTGGTCAGATTTTAATCCCTCAGCCTATTATTTCTATAATATGTGTTTTATATATGTATATGCATATCATGTGTATATATATATATATATGTATGCATTTATAAGTTGTCAAATATTTCACAGTGTAACATTTTGTTTCTGTTTTTTCTTCATACAATTATACTTTATTACCTACGCATGTACATGCATGTACTTTTTTTGGTACAATGCATCATCAATGCTGTATATAACAAAGATTTATGGTATGATTTCTACGCAGAGTTATTTTTCATCACTTCTATGCACGACTTATTATTTTTTCTATATTCGGTATTATTTCTTATAACATTATTTCTGTGTGACTGATATTATAATCGTATAACAGTTTTAAAAATATTTCAGAATTAAACAAGGAATAATAGAATGACTACAATAGATGAATAGCAACTTAGAACGTAATAAAATACATTACTGCAAGTAATATAAGAATAATAAAAAAAGAGAGAGAGAGAGAAAATTAAGAAATGGATGCACAGGGTTCGTTCAAGTGCGTTCATTTTATACAATTGGAGAAAGGATTCAAAAGAAGGAGTTAGGAAAAGAATTATAATATGGTGAAGAAAATGCCAGTAGAATAGCCGCCACTTTACTTTACTTCTGTTTTCCTAGATCACAGTCACATATATGGCTGCTAAATCACGGAACATATTTCATCACCAATTCTTTTTTTTATTTTTGAATAATAATAATAATAAAAAAAAAGAAAAAAGAAAAGAGGAAGAAAATATAAAATAACTTCAAAATCTTATCAATACTGGAAAATAGTTCACTAGTTTACACAAGTACAAAATATAACATTCTTTGAAAGGGCAAGTGAGACACTCGATCCCTGTTAGGATCCATTCCTGTACATAAAAAAATATTCACGAAGTAATTTAATAATCGAGGAATAAATTAGGATTATATTATATAAAATGTTATTTCTTTTTTCATAACGTGAGAAAGTTTTATTAAAAATCACTGTTATTATTCTATATCGCTTTTTTCATATAAATTGTAAATTAAATTATTCGATTAATATAAAATTATTGCGAAAACCAGATGTTTTAAAATGAAAATACGCATAATATGTTTAAAATATTCTTCATGATAAAATAATGTATTTACAAAACTATTATTAAATGATATCGAATTTAAGATAACTTGTGCTTTTAAACAATATTATAAAATTTTTCTTTGAATGAATTATATTTTTTTTTTTTAACTACTATAAATTACAAATATATTCGCCAGTTTTTTTCCCTTTTTTAAAGAAAAAACGAAAAAAAACTACTATTTACGATAAAATTAATGCAATGCGATATTTTATGGAAATGAAGATGCAGAAAAATTATATGAATGAGAATAATATTGTTTAAAAAGACTGATATGAACACAGTATAAATGATTTCTAATAAACTTATCCGAAGAATATATTAACATTAAATTATATTTTTTTACATAATAAATATATTCTTAAAAAAAAAAAAATTGTATTAAAAGGAAAAAAGAAATCCTTCTTCGGAGTATAATTCACAGGAGTGATCAGTGCAGATTTCAAGTGTCTCATTTTTTCAGTAATCGCTTGCCACCGGTGCATTAACGCTCCGTAAAAAATAATAAATCAAAAAATCGTAAGAGAATAATATTATGTACTATATACAAATAATATCCTAACACTTTAGGAAAGGATTAACTTTGGAGAAGGGTAAGGGGACCATTCCATGCGCAAGAAGAGTTCACGAAGGCCCACAATCTGTAAATTTTATCTTTTCTTTTCTCGTATTTTTTCTAATCCTGCCCGCGCTCTCATTTATAATTATTATTCTACAAATTACAATGCTCTACTCTACCGTTTCGGATGTATCCTAAATTTTATATAATATATATTCGGTATATTATATTTGTTTTCTATTTACAAAATATGTAGAATAGACATTGTTCCTATCCTAACTATAATATGCGTGCCGTGGCGCGAGACTTTTTTAAACCTTTCAAAGTGCGCTTTTTTTTATAAACATATTACTAATTACATAATCTATTTTACAGCCAAATTCAACAATCTCCGCTAAAATTCAACGCGTTTCTATTAGAGATATGAAATTTTTTATAACATAAAAGCAATCATTTGATTGATAAAATGCACTAAAATAAACGAAATACGTTATATACATATAATGTATGTATAATTTGCGTAATGAACAACACGAGTTCCATTAAAAGCATAGTAACAAAATTCTCAAATCGCAACAACATATTCAATAAATCTTCTCGGCACTTCTTTTCTTATCTCGGCGCTCGATGGTAATATTAAATCTTATATATTTGCAAATTTTTCATTAGATCACACATGCATTTGATTATGACATGCTAAAGGTAAAAACAAATAATTTGTCATGGCCAAAAAAAAAAAAGAAAAAAATACGGCCTCTATAAAACCGCTTATATCTAAATTGGCCAAAAAAAAAGGAAAAAAAAAAAAAAAAAAAAAAAAAAAAAAAAAAAAAAAAAAAACGGCCCCTATAAAACCGCTTATATCTAAATTGGCCAAAAAAAAGGAAAAAAAAAAAAAAAAAAGAAAAAAAAGAAATAAAGAAAAAAACAACTTCAGCATCAGCAGATCAATTTTAAAATGCTTATAAAACACAAATTCAACGCGTTGAATTTGAGCAGAGGTCTAAAAACAGTAGATAAGTACTTTCGAGAATATTGGAAACATATTACATATTATCTATATCAAGTGGTGTCTAACAATTAATTCTTTACTATTAAGGGATTTATTACGCATGCATTCCCTTGTTTGTCGCCGCACAATGGCACGATTTTTGTCTCCACTGTTATAATCTATGAATCACCAAAGTATGCTTTCGTCTTAAAATTGTCAGACACAGCATCATAGATACTTTAAACTCTCCAGATATCTCCCATTCCAATTCATGCCATAATATTTACAAGTAAAATAAACATATTTGTTGACTGCATTACATAAATTTTGTGCAATGTTTATCGCAGTTCTTCCTTTTATATTTTTCTTTTTTATCTATATCATATATAAAGAATAACTAAAGTATATAAACTCTGATTTCATTTTATAATGTTTCATTAATTCTAATACTCTCTGATTACGACTTTCTCTTCCTCTTTCTCTCAAAAACACCCATACACATTCTGCATTCACGCGAAATTTCATTTTCTATATCACACATATTCATTTTTTTCTTTCTACTGGATCTCATAGTATTTTTAACAATGTTTAACAATGGCTTAGGCCTTTCATAATCCTTGCAAGGTATATCGATGTACAAATATCAGTCGTGCATATTTGGAATTATACAACTATGAGTTGTAACTTTATAACGTAGTAAAATAATTTTTTCATTTCTATATTACCATTTCATAAATCATCTTTGGATTTAGAATGCAGACGAGTATTGTCTTTCCTTCTGAGAGAAGAAAGCTCTTTTTTTCGAATTAAATATTTCGCGCGCGAAACAGTTACTTTATGTCATTATATTATTTTTTTCTCATTTTGTTATTAAACAAGATAATATGATTAAATTTTTAAGTTGAGCTTTTAATTTACTAATGAGCGTTATCGTTACTAAAATACAGTAAATTCTTTATCACGCAAATTTTCACAATTTTATATGTCATTATCCCAATAGAACACAGATACTCGAACACACATCGAAGTCAACATTAGTAATCTTGAGAAATACTCGATACGATATTTCTTTTATATACAATATAAAGATATTACTGATATATGTACATCGACTCACCTTGATATGCCTGTCTAAGTTACCTGCACCAGGTTATATCAAAGTTTGAATTGCACTAAAGCCTTGCAGCACTTTACAACTCGCTAAAACTTGTACATCAACAATTTTTCCAATAAAAACTTTCCTTTTTTTCAATGAATAATGATGTACTCATGTTGTGGAGTAAGGGGATGCATAGTATCACAGTTGGCACGTGGGCGCTAGCTACCACTACTGCTTACAGGCAGTGAATGTGGAGCTCCCATCGATGTAGGAGGAGCAGTCAATGGTCCTATAAAAATATTCTTTATATATTACTTGCCTTATAATTAATATTTAAAAAAATATCAAACTATCTCAAATAATTACCAGTTATATTAGGTGAAGATTCAGAAACAGGTAGTGGACTAACTAGACTGTTAGCACTCATAGGTGTAGAGTTAGCTTTTAATTTTTGTCTGACCTCCCTAATCTTTAATTGCAAACTTGTCTTATTAGGAAATATATCTGAATGTTTTGCTTGAAAAGTTGTAGTAGCTTGTGTTGAAGGAAAGTAACCATGTTCTTGAAATAATTGCATTACAAGATGTCGACGTTGTTCTAGTACTTTCCTGTGACCTCGTTCATTTTCACTTCTGCCAATTCCTACAGAGTTTCCTGCACCTCCACCAGGTGTTTTTGGTGTTCTGGGTGAACTAGCATCAACATCTCCTACTAGATCGGTATTAGTTCTATATGCATCAACGTTAAAATCTGGACCAAAGAATGTATTTCCTGTCAACTTGACACTAGAAGTTGATTTTGGAGTAGCAGATATTGATGTATCTGATTCGATGTCATCCTCATTCACTATTAGAAAAAAATTTTTATTGTAATATTTAAATTTTTAGATAAAAATTAAAAGATACGTGCCCTTTTATAAAATTATTAAATAATTTAATAATTATATAAAAATATATAAAAATATAAAAATATTAACTTATATAACTTATATAAAAATATTTACTTGTGGGCCTATGAGGTCCTTGCGCGGATTTTTTTCTGTAACTTTGCATTTGTATCGACGATTGTAAATTTGATGGATGTAAACCAGATGTTACTACTGAACTATGACCAGATGAACCCACTGTGTTGATACTGATTGCACTTGGACTTTGTATATCTTCTGGTTTAAATTCTGGCAAGGATGAAAATTTTTCTTGGAAATTTACTTGCTCCAGAACTCTAAAAAAAATTATATTTTTGATTGTAAATTTAAATTTAAATTTAACATAATGATAAAATTCAAATAATTTTTAATTTTTCATACCTGTCCATTCCATCTTCGACATTTTTTTTGAAAAAAGAACCCTTCTTGGTAGATGGTGACGGCGAAGCATGAGATTCTGAAAAATTTTGTTGTTGTATTTGTTCTGTAGCTTGAGATGTGTTTGTTTGTGGACGATTATCACAATGTTGAGAAGTCAAAGGCCCATGGTCTCCTGCATTTGATGTGGGAGGCATTGCTATAAAAAATAAAGAATGTATATATATATATATTTATGTTTTATATATTTTCATTTATATTTATTATTTAAAATAATTATTAATATATCATTAATATATGATGAAGTTGATAAAAATATACCCATTGACTGTCTCCTTTGTAACGGTGCTCGACCAAGTTGTGCTGGAGTTGGAGCAAGCATAAAAGGACCTTTACTTGGACCTATATCATTAGGTTGTGTTTCATCCATAGAATATGATTTATTTGTAGGAATTTCAGTACTACCATGATTACTAAGAGGTGTATGAGGAGTGTGTGGAGTAGATGGCTGTTTATGTTTATCATTTGTAGCAGATAAAAGAATATTCACAGTATCTTTTCTTTCTTGATCAGATTTTACATTAGTTACTGAAAAAATATAAAAACCATTTTTAATTCTTATTCAAAATATATACAATATCATTAAAAATTATAAAAAATATGACTTACCATAAAATTGAGCATGATTATTTCCTATTTGATTTTCATTTTTTTCAGGTTCTGCAAGACGAGCTATTGGATGACCAATTCCTCGATAAGTTGACGTAGTGGAAGTTGTTGGAACCGAATATGGTTTGGTCACTATTACACTTTGGGTTTCCATTTTATTGCCAGAAACTAAAGCTTGGGAAGATATATTACGATTGCCAGCATCTATAAAATATAATTTGCATTATATTTATTTTATATAAATTTTTAGAAATATATTTTTATATAATATAAATTAATAAATCATTTTAATATTAAAAATAATATTAGAAGAAGTTATAATTAATATATAAATATTATAAGTAATAATTGCAAATAATATTTTATTGCAATAAAAAATAGTAAAATCTCAAAATAATTATATAAAATTAATTATATATAAATTATATTTTACAAAAACATACCAGAAATAGGTATATGAAATCCACAATACATCCGGGAATGAGGTGGTGTTGGACCAAGATACTGTGATCCCTGCTGCGGTTTGGAAACAGCCACCAAATCGTTATCGAGCAATGTTAGAGTGAACGATGGTTGATAAGGAACAGCTGAAGTAAGGGGGCGAAGAATAGTGCCTAAAGACTGCAACGGCTGCTGTTGTTTAAACAGAGCCATCATAGGTTTCGATCCAATCTGTCAGTTAAACTTTTATAGTTTAATCTTTGAGTTTATTCGCATGTGTTTACATAGCACCTTTTAGAAAAGCTTTAAGAGTTCGCTGCTCCCTCAATTCAGGTTTTAATTGGAAAATAGAAAAAAAAAAAAAACAAAGAAAGAAAGAAAAGAAATAATATTGCAGCAAGGTAAGTGTAGGCACGTGCGAATAGCACTCGAATTATACTTAAACTTTATAGTAACTATTCATACCTTATATTCAGACAGTAGTAAAAAATAATCATTTATGAGATAATAAATAATTGATTGTTTGAGTGTAGGTAATATAATTATATTTGTTAATTCAAAAAAATATGAAAATTACTATTTATCCTTCACTCAAACGATAAATATAGAATTTTTAAGTATTCACACATGCCCGAATGAAAAGGATTATTTTACAGGATATTAGGAAAATAAAATATTTTAAAAGTTTTAAAATTATATAATTCACTGAATTCATTATATAGGTTTAATTCGTCTGGACCATTGTAGGTATGTATGTTACTATTATACATTTTTAATAATTTATATATTTGTAATACTTACAGAATGTAATACCGGAGCAGCCGTAAATTTAGGTATATTTCTTCCATTTTCATGAATACTTGCTACTAAATTACTCATACTATATTGAGTACTATACTGTTGCTCATTTTTTACTGGTTCTGGTTTAATGACTTTTGGAGATATTGGCATAGTTATAAAAGCTCCACCTGTAGGTTGAAAACCTGATACTCCAGTTGGATTGACAGGACTATGATAAGGATATGTGCTGGGTAAAACAGAAACGCTTCCTCCTTTATCCATAGAAGTATGATGATATTTCGTCGTAGTTTCAATGCCTGTTGAAGGTATTCGTGCTAGACGAATGGAGAAATTAAAATTACCATACTATACTACATTATTGAATATACATTGTTGATTTTTATGTAATTAAATATTAAAACAAACCTTTTATCGGCTTAGGCCTACAGGTTATTTCTTGTTTAACATTTATTGCTTCTCTTTTCTGACCAGTTACAGGTGAGAACCGTGATTGCATATAACATTTCTTTTCAGTGTCTTCATCTTGTACATCATTATCACTATCTGTCAATTTATCTTTGCATTTTAAATCTATTTCAGGTTGTGGATCTTCACAGATTACCATTTGATCTTCATCTGACACATTACCATCTTCGTCCTGTTTTAAATCACATTCTGTATTTTCAACTGGTAAAGGCATTTCCATTATTCGATGTGTATGTGACTGATTAATAACCTAATAAAATATATAAATATATTATTTAGCATAAAAAAAATTAAAACATTTAAATAACGTAGATTAAATTTACCTCAATCGTGGGAGCTTCATTATATACCGTAGTAACGGGAACAGTAATTTCGTCTGTAGCTCTTGGTGTTAATGGTACATCATCTGCTGGTGGTCCCATATCCGTTTCTTCTCCAGTACTATTTAATTTCCCTCGAGATTCGCTACCTTTAAAACTTGTCGTTGAAGATTTTCGTCTATCTTTACTACACCATTTCCAATCTGGATGCGCTTTAAAATGTGCTTCTTTCACTTCTGATGCAAGATCATGATATTTTTGTTTTTCTTCTGGTCCTAAGGCATACCACCATTCCCCCAATATTTTAGACACAGTACGATTATCTTGATTCGGATGTCTTTGATGCACTACTGCACGATGTCGTTTAGAAAAAATCATAAATGCATTCATCGGTCGGCGTATTCTATCTTTAGTCTGTGAAATTATATTATAAATTTTTAAAATTAATCTCATTTCATTTATATTATATTATATTATATTATATTATATTATATTTATATTAAATAAAATTTAAAATATATTGTTTTAAAATAAAAATTGTAATAATAAAATTTCTTATCACATTCTTCTTATTAAACTTACTTTAAGAGGACTCTGTGGTTCCTTGGAATGCAATGCACTAAGGGATTGACTGCGTCTCTTATTAGCATTAGCTTCGACTTCTGCAGGAGTTGTGGGTTCTGTTTCAAAAACATCATCATCTTCTTCTTCAGCTGGAGTTATAGGATCTGGTCCTGGTCCAGATCCATCTTCACCAGGTGTACTCATACTAATTGGAATTGGAGGTGCACTTAATGGTGGACTCAATGCAGATGGTGGAGGACTCACTTCTGATTGATCCAAAACTGTTGTTTGCCAAGGAAAAGCTGCTGCAATAAAATTTTTGTATTAATCACAATGACTTTTTGATTAATTCTGAAAATAGTAGCAAAAAATATATTATTATAATTTACTAAAGCAAATTATTTTCATAAAGGAAAATGTTAGTGTATAATAAAAATTATTTTATGAATAAATTGTGAAATATATATGTAAGTGAAATATATATAATTAATATTATCTTGAAATATAATATTGACAGCTTAAAAATATTATAAAATTTAAGATATAATAAAAAAAAAAATTAATATCATCTATCCTCAATTTTAAAGTAATATTAAACATTAAATATTGAATCATATTTTGATTTAAATAAAATGAGATAAAATATAATTCAAATATTAACAAAAAATGAATCAATTGCATTTATCTGTAAAACAGATAATGATATATTTTGTATAATTCATACTTATTCATAAAATAAATTACAAAAATTACAAAATTATTAAAATATTTATTATATTTATATAAATTCATTTTTTTAATAATATCATAATTAT